ATTCTGTATATCTCTCTTTACCTCTTACTCTGTGGCTGTGTGTCTGTGTGGATGTGTGGTTGTGAGGTTGGGTGGCTGTGTGTCTGTGTGGCTGTGAGGTTGGGTGGCTGTGTGGCTATGTGGCTGTGTGGCTGTGAGGTTGGGTGGCTGTGTGTCTGTGTGTCTGTGTGGCTATGTGTCTGTGTGTCTGTGAGGTTGGGTGGCTGTGTGTCTGTGTGTCTGTGTGGCTGTGAGGTTGGGTGGCTGTGTGGCTGTGAGGTTGGGTGGCTGTGTGTCTGTGTGGCTGTGAGGTTGGGTGGCTGTGTGTCTGTGTGTCTGTGTGTCTGTGAGGTTGGGTGGCTGTGTGGCTGTGAGGTTGGGTGGCTGTGTGGCTGTGTAGCTGTGAGGTTGGGTGTCTGTGTGTCTGTGTGGCTGTGAGGTTGGGTGGCTGTGTGTCTGTGTGTCTGTGTGGCTATGTGGCTGTGTGGCTGTGAGGTTGGGTGTCTGTGTGTCTGTGTGTCTGTGTGGCTATGTGGCTGTGAGGTTGGGTGTCTGTGTGTCTGTGTGTCTATGTGTCCCTTCTCTTCTCACTCCTTGTTCTTCTCTTTTCTATTAATTCTCTCTGCCTGCCAGTCCCACCTATCCTTTCTCCTGCCTAGCTATTGGCCATTAAGCTCTTTATTAGACCAATTGGGTATTTTAGGCAGATAAACTAGCACAGCTTTGCAGAGTTAAACAAATACAACATAAAAGAATGCAACATATCTTTGCTTTATTAAATATTCCACAGCATAGATTAATATAACACATCTTAAACTAATTTTCCACAACAGATAAGTTCAAGTATGCTAGTAAAATGAACATGTCCTAAGGTTCCCACGTCTCTGTGGTACAAAGGTTCAAGACTGTGTCTCAGAGAGGCTGGTCAAAAGACTGAACTCTAAAACTGGTCTCCACTTACTTCTGTCCCCTGTTTCTGTATCACCTCCTGATGCCCAGCCTTGCCCAGCATATATATGAAGTAGATGGCCAGCCTACTGACCTCCTGCATCTCTTGGAAGGCCTAGTCACATTTTATTAATCTTCTATTTGTTAATAAAATGAAAGGAGAACAATAAAGAAAAATAGGGTGAAAAAAACTTAACTGAGAGTAGTTAGATGCTGGTCCCATTCTGGCCCTGAACAGGCTTCTGGACCCTGCAGCTCGGGACCTGTTTGGGGACATCAAGTCTTCCCAGCATGTACTGTAACAATACATCCTTAAAGGAGTGCAGGCTTCCAGCATGGGCTCATTGTCGGGATCATTGTCCCAAGCAGTGTTCTGTGATAGTTTCTACAGAATACTCTCAATATGGTTGCTCTTAGCCACCTGTGGCAATGGAGCCCTTAGAATGTGGCCAGTCAAAATGAAGATATGCTCTTAAGCCAGGTTTAAAGAGTTAGTACCAAAAAGTACAGGAGAACTCACTAATATTCAGCCATGAGCCATGAGATGGACAGCTTCAGCCAGTGATGGACAGCAATGGCTCTATAAGCTTATATGGGGCTAAAGACTTTACAGCCTAGTGGCATAGCCATTGTAATGTCAGAGCACAGTGCATTGCTCATGTGTGTGTGGTAGCATGTTTGTGTGGTTGCTTTGCCAGTCATATGAGGGAATGTCATACCCAGCTATCTAATCAGTATGATAAAGTCTGAAAAGCTGATAACTATGCAGCAGGGACTTTGCTGACATAATCATCACCAATAAGGTCTGTCTGTCTGTCGGTCGGTCTGTCTGTCTTTCTCTTTCTCTTTTAAGACAGGGTTTCTATGTAGCCCTGACTGTCCTGGAATACTATATAGACCAGGCTGGCTTCAAACTCACAGAGATCTGCCTGCCTCTGCCTCCTGAGTGCTGGGATTAAAGGTGTGCGCCACCACATGCTGTATGAAGTTTATTTTTTCAGTACTGTCATTATATATCGTGGTGGGACAGGTGTGTGGAGTCTGAGGGCGTCTCTTCTCTCCTGCCACCACAGTTCTGGACCAAAAGCAGGTGGTCAGGCTTGTGCAGTGGGTACTTCACCCAGTGAGCCCTCCTGCCTGGCCACCATAGATTCTTTATGTGCTTCAGCTTCCTTTAGAATGGAGCTACCAGACAATGTGAAATTACAAGGTGAGTACTATTCAATTCCCACAGACAGACTGCTCTAAACACTGTCACAGTCTAAAAATGTCTGCCTCAGACCTGGGCACTCAGCAGCTTGGTGGTTGGCGTTAAGTTCAAGGAGAAACACAGTCAGGTGTTGGAGAGATGGCTCAGTGGTTAAGAGTACTGCCTGAGCCGGGCGTTGGTGGCGCACGCCTTTAATCCCAGCACTCGGGAGGCAGAGGCAGGCGGATCTCTGTGAGTTCGAGGCCAGCCTGGTCTACAAAGTGAGTTCCAGGACAGCCTCCAAAACCACAGAGAAACCCTGTCTCGAAAAACCAAAAAAAAAAAAAAAAAAAAAGAGTACTGCCTGCTCTTCCAAAGGACCCTGGGTTCAATTCCTGGCACCCACATGGCAGTTCACAACTGTCTGTAACTCCATTTACAGGGAATCCGACACCCTCACACAGACCTACATGGAGGCAAAGCACCAATGCACATAAAATAAAATAAATTAATTTAAAAAAAGAAAGAAGAAGAGACACAGCTATGTGCATTTAAACAAACCCTGGCCACAATTGGTGGTCACTTGTGTCTGAGGACCGCAAACAGAGAGTTGCCTACCACTAGACACTGGGTTTTGTTGCAGCTGATGATAGAGCGTCCAGGTTTTTCTCTCATCTTTGTGAAATGGAGAGGAATTTCTTAGTTACTTTGATCGGTGAGGCATTTAAGCTTGTTCCTTTGTGAGCTCAATGCTCAGCTGCTTAAATCCCTGCAAAACCCTTAGTGAGAGCACTTACTACACATAACAAAACAACACCTGAGCACATACCTTCACGGGGATCTTCCACAGCAAGCCAGAAACTAGACGGATGCCAACCTGCCTTTGGCTAACAGGAAACAAAGCCACAAACTCAGAAAGAACGTGAGGTAGTAACCGAATCGGGTGCTCCCCCTGCTTATGCCTCCTATACTAGTAGCTCAGTGCTTCGTTTCCAAGGAATGGCGGGTTCATTTATAGATCATTATGTCTTACATCTTGAGCAAGTGTGAGTGCAACCAGACTTTCTCATGTGAATCACTCATCGTAGGTGCAGGGAACATAGCTGTTCTCTTAAAAACTCCGCTGGCTGGTGGGGAGTAGCCCTGTGTACACTTTTCTTGTCATGTGTACTGGTATGTGTATGGTGTGTGTGTGTGTGTGTGCATGTATGTATATGTGTGGGGGTACATGTGTGCTTGTGGAGGTCAAAGGATGACCTCATGTCTGCCCCGATTGTTCCCCACTTATTTACTCAGAGCAGGGTCCAATACAGAAACTGAGCTCACTGATTTGGCTTTCCAAGTTTGGGAGTCTTGTCTTTGCCTCCCAAGGCCTAGGATTATATGTAGACTTCCATGACTGCCCAACTTCCAAGTGGGTTCTGGGAACCTGAACTCCAGTCCTCAGGTTTGCATGGCAAGCCCTCTTTATTCACTGAGCCATCTCCTCAACCCTCAGTACGTATTTCTTAGTTATTATTACAGTATTTACTGGCTTAATTGTGTATGTGTAGGTCAGAAGCTATAGGAATTGATTCTCTCTTTCCACCATGCCAGTCCTAGGGATTGAACCGAGGTCATGGGAAGCAAGCGTCTTTATCTGCTGAGGCATTTTATTATCCCCTCAGTGCATGTTCTTACCATGTGTGTAGCACCGGGCTTCATCCCAAGCACCAAAACAAAACAAAGACAAAAGAAAAGTACAGGGTAGAGCAACCAGCTCAGTTGGTAAAGTGTGCATGGTAAACTTGTCAGTGGTACATGTTTCTGGTGCCCATCCTGGGGAGGCAAAGACTGGGAGACTGCATGGCTTGCTGGACAGCCAGCTGCCCTGGCTTTCCTTCTGTTGCTGTGACAGATACCATGACCAAAAGCAACTTGAGTAGGAAAGGGTTTATTTCACTTTACGGCTTATAGTTCGTCACCGAGGAAAGTCGGGTCTGGAGCTCAAATAGTGCAGGAAATCTAGCAGGAACCTCAAATGGAGACAGTAGAGGCATGCTGCTGACTTGCTCCTTACCCGTTGCTCTGCTAGATTCCTTATAAGGCCCAGGGCCATGTACGTAAGGATGGTACTGCCTACAGTGTGCTGGGTCCTCCTATGTCAACTATCAGTCAAGAAAATGCCCCACAAACATGCCCTCGGGCCAATCTGATGCCCTACACACCCACACATAGGCCAGCCCAGGGCCTCTCTTTCCAAGTGTGTCAAACCAACTAGTTTGGTTGGCTTGGCAAGTCCCAAGCCAGGGAGAGACCCTTCAGCAGAAACAAAGCACACAGTGGTTGTCCTCTGACCTCCAGGAGCACAAGCATGAACATGTGCACAGAACAACAGCCAGAGAGAGTACCCTGAATCTCAGCAAGGACTTCGGACTTTTGGACTGTTAAGACTTTGGGGCTGAATGCTGTGAGCACATACAGGAAGCACTAGTTGTGTTAAACCAAGCTATAGGGCTCTGGGCATGTTTTGACAAATGAGCTCTTTCTATCTTAAATGCAGGAATTTGATGGAGTCGTCTGAAATTGTTCTTTCTCATATGTTCTAGCCATTGTGTTAGGTTTTATAGGCATCGAGATTGTTGATCAGTGTTAGCATGTCAGAGCACACCCAATAGGCCATATTATAATGTTTTTTAGCTCCCTGGCTTATTCACTGAAGGCAGAGCGGCTTCCTGGTCCACGATGAACGCTGTTCAATAACGACTGCTCTCTTGTAAGGGGTTGGGCTAAGAGCTTTTCCCCTCCACGCAGTCCCTGTTATACCTCAACTACCGGGCACTGGCGGGTACAGCATTCCTCACTGTGCCTTTGTCCTCTCACCGTCTCTCCAACTTCTCTCTAGCTCAAGAGAGCCAGCAGTGAGGACATGCTCAACAAACCTGGAAGTGCCTCAGCAGGGGCCGCACGACTGAAGAAGACCTCCACCTCTGGAGCCATCTCGGAGCTCACTGAGAGCCGCCTGAGAAGCAACACAGGTAGGGGGGACCTCGGCTGCGTCCTTGTCCTGTGGACACTCCTTCTGACTAATGACCCACCCCTCTCCTGATCACCCTGGCCTGGAGTTGACCTGGGCCACAGCCCTTATCTGTAGAGTTTGCACACTAGGGGGACTGGAGGAGAACAGAAAGCAATGGTTTGCTGTGTCACCTCAGGAGTCCACTTGTCACCAGTGTGTGTGGAATCCTTTTAGTGATGTGGTATAGCTCTGGAGTCATCCTCTGTGAGGGAAACGGATGGCAGTGGTCATGGAAAGGCCCAGGATGAGGAACAGCTGAGGTCTCCCCTGATCATGATGGCTGTTCCTACCCATTTCACAAAAGCATCACATTCCAAAGATATGTTGGCATTTGCTTGGCCTTTAGGAAGTTTAATGTGAGGACCGAATGTGGCTTTGGATGTAAGGAGAAGGGCCTGTGTTTCTGTCTGATGACTTAGCTATTTAAAGACTGAATTCCTCCTAGATACAACAAATGAAAGTGAAGCTTATTTTCACCAAGCAAGCCTCCACTACTGATTCCAAAGTTAATGGATACCATTGAAATTAATTAATTAAAGTGTACTGTGAGCCTTATTCTCAATATTAATGGAAGAATGAGATATTAAAATGTTAGCAAATGCCATCCAAGAAAATTTAAAAGGGCACCGGGCAGTACAACCAAGTGAGGTTGTGCCATCTAAGAATGAATGAATGGGGGCTTGGAGGATGGTCCGATAGTTAAGAGCACTTGCTGCTCTTCGAGAGGACCCAGGTTCAGTTCTCAGCATCCACATAGCAGCTCACAACTGTCTGTAATTACAGGGGATCCAGCTCTCTCTCCTGACCTCCATAGGGATTTCAGACATGTGATGCCCAGACATACGTGCAGGCAAAACACTCATACACATAAAATAAGATGAAATCTTTTAAAAAATGAGTAAGTGAATGAATGTTATCACTATATGCCTGCCAGGCATATCGTAGGCCAAAGAAAACCCACATGGTTGTCTTGATAGATACGGGCAATGGAACTGTCAGGATTAACCAGCATTCTGGTTTAGTAACAGACTCCTGATAGACAATGAGTGTGGGGCAAAGAAGAGTGTTATCTTGCTGCACTCGGCAGCACGTAGCTGTGGTCCCAGACACTCAGAGATGGGAGTGTCACCGGAACCCACAAGTTCAAGGCTAGTTAAACAAGGCAGAGACTCCATCTCAAAATGTAAGTAACGCTTGGGAGGCGGAGGCAGGAGGATCTGGAGTTCAGGCCCGCCTAGGCTCCATGGTGCCTTGTGTGAAAGAAAAAGATTGGCTAGTTCTCTGATCAGTGACTGGTTAGAAAATATTATATTGGAAGGAATGACCTCAGGTCAAGGATGTGGAGCTGGGCATGGTGGCTCACGACTTTAATCCCAGCACTTGTGAGGCAGGTGGATCTCTGTGAATTTGAGGCCAGCCTGGTCTACAGAGGGAGTTCTAAGACATCCAGGGCTACACACAGAGAACCCCCCCCCAAACAAACAAACAAGAGAAAGAAAGGAGAAACACTTAGCAATAAATTTAGTTACGTAAGAGCCTATATCTGAAAAGAAATCTAAAAACCCTTCTGAAGAACACATCTATGTCCTTGAGAATAAATGGGAGGAAATGTGTGGGTTTGGGGTAGGAAGATTAAATATAGTAAAAACTAAATTCAGTAGTGTCACATATTAAATGTAATAAGGGTGTCTAAAGTATTCCATCAACTCATTTTTGTTCTAATTAGCATATCAGTGTGAAACTGGAGCGAGCTCGTGAATGAAATGACACTGAGGACTCAGTCTTCAGTCAGCAAGCCCTAGGCACAGGGGGAGGTAGTCTGGGTTGCGCTGATTGGGAGGTTATACTGCCACCTAGTGGATAGTGGGCAGAGATGCTGCCAGCCGTAGACTGCAGGACAGACGGAGTGTCCTGCCTGACTGGGTAGGCCGGCTGCTGGGAAGCCCTGATCCAGGACCATTCCAGGATAACCAGGGAAATTCTGAAGAAGAGCAATCAAAGGGCTGGCTGCAGCAAACGAAGGCAACCCAGTGGAGCCTTGGAGGAGGGCCAGGAGCCACACGTACATTTGGTAAAGGTGGTTTAGGTCAAGTTGGAAGCCTGCAAGTCAGAGGTCCTGAGTTCAATCCCAGCTCTGAAAAAAGAAGTTAAATAAAAACTGGGTAACTCTGAAAAATACATTTGGATCTCTTCTCATTCTTCTCACCAAAATAAGTCACGGGGATGTGGGAGGGTGAATGCTTGCTGTGCAAGCATGGAGACCTGCATCCCATCCCTAGTGCCCATGCGCAAAGCGAAATGGGGCAGTGCTTACCTGTTACGTCAGCCCCGGGGAAGTGGAGACAGGAGGATCTTCCAGGCTTGCTGACCAGTCAGCCTGGCAAGTGGTGAGTCCTAGCTTCAGTAAGAGACCCTGTCTCACAAAACAAGGTGGAGAGAGATCGCAGGAGACATTCAGTGTTGACCTGCGGCCTCCACATTTAACACCCGTCATGTGTGCACATGTCTGCACACATGCGAGTGAACATGCACACACACATACACGTGCGCACGCACAAACGTGTACAACCCACACATACTTGTACATACATAGATAAAAGCTTTAAAAGTGAAGAAGACACCAGCGTTAACCTGTAGTAGAAACAAAGGGAGTGAAGAGTGGCGTTCCATCATTAAAAAGCTCCGAAGGGCAATAGAGTTAATGGCACTTGCTCTCTCAGAGGACCGGGGCTCAGTTCCCAGCACCCATATGATAGCTCTCAGACACCTGTAACTCCAGTTCCAAGGGATTTGACATATTCTTCTGTCCTCCACGAGCACCAGGCGCACATGTATATGAAGGCGAATACTTCATACACGTAAAATAAAAATACATACCCTTCAAGGATGCTAAGGGGATTTTTTTACAAGGAAAACTGTAGAGCAATATGTAGCTCACATAAAAAGATATAAACATCCCATAGAAAAATAGTAAATTTCACTTATCGCTGAACAGCTATCGATCAGAACAGTAATTCTATATATGACACCCCCAGGTTAGAAAAATCAAAACAGGTAATCATCACTATTACTATGGGCAGAAGGAGCAGACACCCTACTTATGGACAGTTTGGGCAACTCGGCAATACTTGAGGCTTGTTGGTTCCTCCTCCTCCTCTCTCTCTCTCTCTCTCTCTCTCTCTCTCTCTCTCTCTCTCTCTCTCTCTCTCTCTCTCTCTGTCTCTCTCTGTCTGTCTCTCTGTCTCTCTCTCTGTCTCCCTCCCTCCCTCTCTTGCTCCCTCTCTCTCTCTCTCTCCCTCTCTCTCTCTCTCCTCAAGACAGGGTTTCTCTGTGTAACCACCCTGGCTCTCCTGGAACTCGCTCTGTAGACCAGGCTGGCCTCAAACTCACAGAGGCCTGCCTCTGCCTCCCGAGGACTGGGATTAAAGGTGTGCGCCCCACCCCCACCCGGCACACCTGGCTTCCTTACTTGTGTTCTCAAGACTGAGACAGATCCTCATGTTTGTGACTCAAGCGCTTTACCAGTGTAGCCATCTCTTTATTCTCCCCAATTTAAACATTTTAGGAAGTATTGATATGTATTTGGCTCAGTACATTACTGTCACTGGTGCTGAGGCTGGAACCCAGGGCTTTCCTTATGCTGAGTGTTTGCGCCAGCACTGACCTAGACCTCAACCCATCTACTCTTTATGTTCAGAGTGTATGTGTGTGTGCATACGGGTGTGTGTATGTGTGTGTGTGTGTGTGTGTGTGTGTGTCTGACCTGGACTTCAACCCATCTACTCTTATGTTCAGAGTATATGTGTGTGTGCACACGGGTGTGTGTGTGTGTGTGTGTGTGTGCTGGCAATTCTCTACAAGTTCATCTGTGAAGGGAAGCATCCAATTCTATGAAGTCCGGAAATGCTGCCAGTACGTAGGTGATCTCTATAAATTAGGGAGGATTGCAATCTACATACAGACTCAGGGGAAGGAGTCTTAATGCCACTCAGACACAGGGTCTAAACTTTGACTTGTTTGCTCTGATGCATAGAGGGTAGCATTGTTTTTTACTTCTTTCAAGGATATTAATCTTCCTCCTGATTATTTTTTATTTTAAACTGTCATTCATATGTGTGTGCATACATTTTTATGGGACACTGCAGTGATTGATGCTCACAGTCAAACCTAACTGGATTGGAATAATCTGGGCGACACCTATACGGGGTGAGGTCTTGGGCTAAATAAAAAGGGAGAAAGGAGAAAGCGGGCTGACCTCCAGCACCCATCCCTCTGCTTCCTGAATGCAACGTGCCTACCTCACATTCCGGTCACCATGCCTTCCTGCCGTGATGGACTGTCCCCTCAAACCATGAGCCAAGATAATCAATCCCTTCCTCCTTAAGTTACTTCTTGTCAGGCCTCTTGTCACAGCAATGAGGAAACAGATGCAGAGGCAGGTCATGGATGGGTGTCATGTGATCAGATATGTTCAGTGGCCTATTACCTTCACTGCCAACCATTTTTTCAGATTTGCCGTGCACTGTGTGATTCTAAACCTGCAACTAGCCAGTATCCATCTCAAGCCCCTCACACTCAAATTTAACACCGAGTTGACACCTGACACAGGGCAGGCAGGATGAGAGCTGCTAAAACCGGGACACATGGCTTCTCAGAAGCCTTCCTTCTCATTCTGTCAAAGGCTGTGTCTCTTTCCCTGTGCCCTGGAGCACTGCCAGAGTTGCTTCAACAGAAACAAACAGCACAACATCTACTAGGTCAGGCGCTCTCCCTGCTGCCCTGCCTGCCTCCCCTTGGTCCTGGCCTTTCCAGCCCGTTGGCACTTCTTCCTCAGACAGACTTAGGGCTCTGTTTCATCCGGTCTGAGCCATCACATAGGTTGAGGCTTTTATCAGCCTTGCCCACGACATGTCCACCCTTTTGGACTTTCCGAGTAAGCCTGTCTTCTTCCTCTTCTCC